ACTACCACTACCACCTACCACCACTACTACTACTACTACTACTACTACTACCGCTGATACTACTTCATCTGCTACTACTACTACTACTACTACTACTAGTACTGCTTCTCCTTCTGAGGCTACTACGACGACGACTGCTACACTACTACTCCTGCTTCTACTGCTGCGACGATAACGTCTGCTGCTTCTATTGCTGCTACTGCTACCAGGTGCAACGACTGCGACTGCGACTGCTACTCCTACTCCGGACATCTCAGTACTACTCCTTCTTCTCCGCCTCGGTAATCCTACTCCTACACCCACTCCGACTCCCACTGCTTGGCCACTACTCGTACTACTACGACTACTAACTACTACCGCCACCGCCACCACCACCTCTACTCCTACTCCTACGGCAAAGCCCAGACAAAGCAACAGTAGTACCTAATACTACCACGCGTAACAACAACAATGACCATAGCGATAACAGCAAAAGTAACAGCAAACAATAACAACATAAATAGCAGTACTAATACTAGCCATACTACTACTACTACTACTACTACTACTACTACTACAACTACTACTACTACTACTACGGGTAGGAGTAGTAGTAGTAGTAGTAGTAGTAGTAGTAGTAGCAGTAGCAGTAGCAGTAGCAGTAGTAGTAGTAGTAGCAGCAGTAGTAGTAGTAGTAGTACATAATAACAACGGTAATCAGAATTAATAACACCGTTTTAAAGATGAAAATTGGAATCCTCATAATGGTGATACTGACGAACAAATGAAAAGGGTTAGATGTAGCATCAACAATCTAACAAAAATATGTTCACAAGGGACCCGACTGCTGCCCTTACTCGAGGGACTCGACTGCTGCCTTCAACAAAATAAATAACAGTGGTAATCACTATGACAGTACATTTAGTGCATTACAACAACAATAATAAGCACAAAAAGGTTAATGGGCCTATTGAGCTTGACAATAACAATGCGAACATCAATAACAACAGAATACCAGTAGGGGAGGGTTAACACACATCAGGGTGTGGAAAAATGCATCAGCCCAGTGCGGACGCTGACTCAAGGAATCACACATCAGCGTCGGAACAGACATCACGCAAGCCTTATCCCCAAGGTAAAGCTAGGCTTTTTTGATCGTTGCCCAAAACGTCGAAACTTTACGAAAGCTAGCGGACGCCTGTGTTGTCGGCACGGATTAATTCTTTTCAGATGCGATTTGGTTAGCGAGCCACGAAGGTGCCACTAGTTTCTGTTGTTACATTGCTGCAGCTGCAGCTAAAGATCTCCGAAACATTGTAAGGAAAGTCTACACACGCGCAGCCGAAGCGACAATCTTCGAGCAACGGATGCGATAATTACGCCCGAGATCCGCAAAACGAGGTTTGATTTATGCTCAGCTCCAGTGCGGACGAGGAAAATGTGTATTTCCTCAACACTGCCCCAAAACCTGCTCATTCCGACTAAGAAGCGTCGTTGTTTGTAACCTTCTTCAGCTTGTGGCATCCCAGGTGTTAAGATGAATCGCAAACTCCCGAGTGCTTTGATCGAAAGCACTAAGGGGCTTGCATGTTTTCCAATACCGGGGGGGGGGGGGAGTTGTGAACTGTATTGATGATGATTTATGTGCTTTCAGATTCAGGGCAGGGGCGTAGTGTGAGATGGGAGTCCCGCCTCACCCGGAGCAGGTGTCGCGGGCTCCTGGTTCTGCACTTCTTCCTGCACATAATTAACAAGACAGTCTTTCCCCTTCGTCTCTCATACGCGGCTTTGCGATGCGAGGCCGCAGTGACCCACGACGAAAACAGGTGTGTGCTCAGAAAGTCGTGGCAGCAACTTAATCAACACCTACGAGTATGCCACTGAAACACACTAAAACCCCTAACTGCAAGAACAAGCCATCTCATCTAGGACCACTACAAGAAGTGGAGGAGAGACCTTCCCGGCAGTTCATCAATTAGGGTTGAGATGTATCTTGACGAACCCAAGCCGCTTCACAACACCAGAATACTCATTCTCCGAGTTCAATAGGCTTTTGATGATCTTATAGACCCCGAACAAACAATGAAAGGCCAAGGTAGCAGTCGTAACCAACAACCACCGGGTCGGAAGAGGTCGTAAGACCACTGCAACGACGATTTGCCAATAGATAAAGCCACTGAGAGAAGACTCGAGAGGATTCAGGTCCAAATGCAAACGGAAGAAGGCGAGAGCACGATTTGTACCTCAACATGCGGACTGCTCTTCGGAAAGATCACAACTTTGGATACTCGAATGTTCTTGTATCAGCCACAATGGGCACCGCATCCAGCAGCCCACGGCACTCTGGCGAGAGCGGCATTTACGAAGGGCCATGCAATAGTGGGCATTGCAAGGGAAACCGGCGTGCTGTGCGGACCGCGCACTCACGAGGGATCTTGAAGCAAGTCGACCACTGTGCCATAGGCGACCGACGACCGACTGCGAAAGCCGTTGGGGCGCTGTAACATGCTGTAACCAAACGCGCTTTACTTCTTACCCAACGAAGCGCACAGTGTAATCATATTGCTTGGGTTCAACAGATCAACGAGAACTCCGAGCCTATCTGTGGCAAGAACAGCGTGAAGACCGTGAGCCGAAGTGAATGAACAATGAACCAACGTCTCCTCCAGGACGGCAAGTCCAGGCACGTCGTCCTCCTGGCAGGGACAAAACAGCTGTACTTCGAGGACAAAACACTCCTTCCACCGGCCCTCAGCCCCCCCAAGTGTTTCGGAGCTCGCAGGAAGCAGCAAACTCCTCATGTGCGGGCTCGGCCACTGCTCCTTGACGCAGCAGAGTTGCTTCGACTCAGAAGAGTTGCCGTGCTCCTAATTACCCCTGTTCCACCCTTTAGCTGCGGGCCGGGTTGCCCACTCCAAGGTGCGAGCGGAGCCTGCTAAAGGTCTCCCTCCAGGCGCGCTCCTTCGCGGGCATCTCTGTTAGGACTCTTCTGCGCAGCATTTGCTACAATGAGACAAGACCGACGTCAACAAATTGCAAAGGCATGTCCATGGCATGGGACCAGTGTAGCTCCCGGCGACACGGCAGTACCAGTAGCTGCTGAAAACAGGTGCTCCAACACTGGACATCACGTGACGTCTTTTTGGTGGAGAGGGGCAGCTGAACGTCGAGGGAAAAATCCAGCAGAGCATTGACCAGCGCTGCCCGAATGACGCCGTGTCATGAGTGATGGCAGCTTTGACTGCAGTTTGTGTAGCATGTACGCTAACGTGTAAATATCTGTTGGCGCTATGGCACTGATGTTTCTGGTTTGATCGACTGCGACTCACCAAACGGTTCGCTTTTCCTTTCCTCCAGCATGAAGAAAACTTGCGCTACACTGTGTGAAAGCTGTGCTGCAAAGTCATGTTGTTGACCAGAAGTCCGGAAAGAGCCTTCTCTCTTTGGGCTGGGACTTTCTTGCACTCAAGACCTGACCTGATAAAGCCCCGTTTTCGTCACGTGGATACAGCCGTCGTTGGTGCTAGTGTCCCGGTTTGAAATACAGAGTTACACCGAAACGCCTCTGAGTGGCCAGCCACAGCTGAACAAGCACTGCACCTGAACAGAAAATATTAACATCATGCTCGACTTTAATTGGTCTTACGACCCAGCCCTTGCCGGCCTTGTCGTTGTAGCGCCTCTCCATCTCCTGACGGAGGGGCTCCAGATTCTCGGAGCTTCAAGAATCAGGGATGCCAACCTAGACGTCTAGACATGCCTCGTGTAAGTGGATATCCCTGGGAGAAAAAATCTTGAGCAACGCATTCCTGCCTGTCTGAGCCGAAGCCCAGCCAAACACGGCTCCGCCCTGAACAATGAGGTCCAATACCCGGCGAGCAGCTCGAAGACGCTCGTTGAAATGACGCCGGAGAGTGTCTAGCCTGCTCCAAATATCTATACTTGCCGATCAAATCGAAGAGTCCGCGGGATTTTCCCATTCAAAAATCGAACTACTTCAGATCTGATCCCACCAACATGGTCTGAGCAAATAGCAGATCTGTCGCAAAGTAGAACTCGGACGACCAGCAAGGACGGAGGCAGTGCTGCACAGCCTGTCGCACCCCAAAACCAGAGGCTCCGCGGGCAAAAGCTCGAAGACTGGACGACAAAAGGACAAGATACTTATAGTGTTCCAAGTTGTTCTAAACAAAAAAGTCATCGACAAGAGCCGGGCAGGGAGCCATGTTTGAGCTGACGGCCTTGAGGGCCAGCATCAAGAGCATCACTAAGTCACTAAGTACCAAAAAGTTCAGGGACATAGGACACGTCGAACCCCACCCCTCTTCCGAGGAGATTTCGATAGCTGTCGTAATTGACAAGCAAGGTCCGAACCTGTGGAGATGCTGCAACTTGTCCAATGCCAGCTGGGCCGGAGTCTGATACTCTTCGAGGTCCTGACTATCCTCGACTTGTAAAACGCGAAGGTGAACGGTTACTGGCCGACGAGACAGAGGGCCAGAAAGACTTGCTGAGCCGGAGCAGAGAAAAACTGATACTGTACTTGCCATGAAATCCCTTTCTCGGCAACCCTAAGCCAAAGAGCGGTGCCTCTCATCTGCGTCGTTCGAGCATTGATGCATCACCTCGAGCTCACCTCATGTCAGTTTCGTTTCACTGCCGAGGAAGCCTTAAGCCCGCAAACCTGACTTAAAGCGGCCAGGGCACTTTTTAAGAAGGAGTTCTCGTTCTGGAGGGTCTCCAGCTTCGTCCTGGCACGCATCGTCAGGCAAAGCTGCAGGCCCCAAAAGGCCAGGACGAGAACGTCGCGAGCAGGCTAGAGGAAGACAGAGAGGGAAGGAGAGAGGAGATACGCAAAGAACTGTGTATGCCTGTGTAGCAGTGTAGCAAGTATATGCACAGTGCATGTTTTTGTATTTGTGTACTTATGTCTACATAATATATTGGGGTGTGCATATGTGCATATGTATATGGGTACATGATGATGTATGCATGCTTGGATGGATGGATGGATGGATGGATGGATGGATGGATGGATGGATGGATGTATTTCGGCCAGCGACTTGCGTGAGCCTGTCTTGCCACCCAACTGGGCGACAGAATGAGAAGACGCGCGACTTGACAATCTCTCATGCTGACAATTGAACCCGACTCTGACAACTCGCCTGGTTTCCTGGAGCAACTTCGCGAGCCGAAGCGTCTGCTCCTGCCACAGCACTTTGCTGCTACAGGATTGCGAGTCTGCAGGCAATGCCGACTCTTACGTTCCTGGGACTCCACCCAGCAAGTCGCGAGAGAGCCTTTCGCTTCAGGCTGCAGCTGCTATCAGCCCGCTGGAGAGGCATTCTGTTGCCCAAGAAGGCAGTCTTTCGGCTCAACTTTGTGCCGGAGGTGACGATGCGTTCGAGCATCGGCCTCTGTAGCCTGTTATCTTTCTTCGAGAACATTCGCTTACATGCTGAAAGCCACTGTCATTCCCGGAAAGCCATTTTCTCGGAGTGGAAAGGAGTCCATGAACTCGGCTGCACGGACACCCTGCCCCCATCGCTGCATGTGCCAAACCTTTCTGGAGTCTGCTGCAATAACCCCACATAAACAGATCTTGCAATCCAAGCTCCAGGCTTCCCTGCTCGGATGTCCTGGTAGCTTTTCAGCTCCGAGTTTAAGAAAGCGATCTCCTTCTGTGACGACATGGGGCTTCCGTCGCGCCTCGAGGCAACTGCCAGGGCTTCGATGGATAGGTCAGTTGAACTGCCGGGCAAATTTTGCAACACCAAGACCAGGTCAACTTGAAAACAACTTGTTCGACTTGGCACATGTTCTGCTCTGTTGCGAAGGTTAAAAGGCGCCTTTAGGAGCGCCGGTCTTCTAGTTTGAGGCCAGCCTGCCTGTATTCTGTGCTATACCGCTATACGACATGAAGCAAAACAACTCAGCAACAAGACTTGTTGCAGATGGAGTTCTTTGGAGTGCAGTTCCAGGTGTCAGAAAGAAAGAAACGCAAATGCCGAAGGCATGACGCGTAAAGATGAGGGTCTGCTACACTGCTACATCTGTTTGCAGGAGTCTTTGGCCTCTTCACAGCCGCAGAAACCAAAAACCAACAGCATCCCAGCATCACGAAACTCATAACAGGTGACTAGTGAAACTAGTGTTCAATACAAATCCTGAATAAATGCCATCCAGGGTCTCGGAACCGCCCTCGTCCCAAGGCACTTTCTGCATCTGGGCGAACTGATGCATTACCGGGAATGCTCAGGTTCGAATCTTGAGGTGGTTCGGTCTTCTGGGCTTTGTCTGGAATTCCATGGCAGCTTCGAGAACACCGTACCAATCGCAATCCGACGGAAGGCAGTAGCTCCGGGCCAAAACTTCTAGGAAGGAAAACCTCGACCAAGCTTTCCGCACAACCCGAATCCAGTGCTTGCTTGGCTTGTGCCCGCGAGGCCTCTGATTCGAGTATGATGGCACAGTACTGCTTGAAAGGACGGAACTAGACAGGATCCTGCGTCTGCAGATCGAGCCAGAGCTCCGTTGCATCCAGCACAAGGCCCTTCAGCGTCACAGTAGGCCGCGGCTCAAGCGCCTGAAACAAGGAAGTGAAAGGGGCACGACGGTGCACTCCGATCAATTTACGGATACGCTTAAGGGAAGCTCTCTCGCTGCAGGGCCCTTGACAGCCCAGGCGGCTCCGAACTGAAAAAGCCCTTTGCGGTCACCTCCTTCTTTCCCTCCGGTGTGCTTCGGAGTCGATCTTCGCCATCCGAACGCTCCCTGCTGCCTCATCGTGAGATCAATACTGCAGCGGTTTATCAGCCCTCAAGGTTCGCTTGTCCGTCTGTCCGTCTGTCTCTGTCGGTCTCTGTCCCTGTGTCTGGGTGGGTGCGTGGGTGGGTCTAGGCCCTGGGGCGAAGAATCGCCCGCTCCCTTGTTGAGATTGGACACTTCAGCATCACTTATTATTCAGAGCACTCTCCAGGTGGTAGTATAGTTGGCCCATGATTCCAGCCGACGCTACGGTTGCTGCGGTCTCCAGGCAGAACGAGCCAGCAGCCCTGGGAGAACCCCCCGCAGCCAAATGCACCGACAATCCGATGCGATCCCACTACGAGGCGTCCTCCGGGCTGGATTGTTCTCTCTCCGACTAGCACATGAACTCCCCGACAAGCTAACCAGCTAACCCAGCCTTCGTTTATTGGGGTGCACTGTGCAGTTCGGAGCTCCGCTCCCCTGTGAAACCATGCTGCATCTTACCAGCCTGCCTCCCGACCTTCAAGCCGAGCTGAAGCCTCAGCACAAACACTTCTGGGCCTTCCCACCAATCCCCCGCCCAGAAATCTGACCCTGGCTGCACTGTCTCGCTCTCTCTCTTCTTCTTACGGCATAGGGAGTGGAGATGAAAGGAGTCGCTCTCTCTCTCGCTCTCTCTCTGTCTCTCTCTCTCTCTCTCTCTCTTTCTCTTTCTCGCTCTTCGTCTCTCTCGCTCTCTGTGTGCCTCTCTCCCTTTATCAATCTCTCTCACTCCCTCTGTCTCTCTATGC